GTCTACCCACCTCCGATCCGATGATCCACACCTTGCATCCCCAAGTTACAGCAACCTTAACGGCTCTATTTCTCCAAACGGAAAAAAACAGTGTACTGCCGACCGCCCGGTAATTACTCCCGCACTCGGCACGCAGACAAGTCTTGCTTGTATGTACACGAATGCACAGGGCCTACGCAAACTTCCGGAACTTCATTCTCGACTTCTGTCAACTCCAGCGGACCTAATACCCATAATGGAAACACGGCTGTCTGGCAACATCACCGACAGTGAAATCCAACTCCCACACATGTCGGTCCTCCGCACCGATCGCGCAACCCCAGCTGGTAGTGTCGCACTGTACTACGGCACCTCCCTTGGTTGCACCATCGTGGCAGACTCTGCTTTGCAGTCTCCTGACACCGTGTGGTGCGGTCGTACTAACTGCCAAACACTCCTGCTGTCTTGGTATCATTTACTGCCCCCCTAACAACTCCTCCGAGAATGATGCAAAACTCTTGTACGATATCCATTTCATGCTATCCCTCAGATACACACACCTTCTTATCACAGGGGAGATTTCAATCTACCCTCCGTTCCGAAGACTGGCACCTTTGCGTCAAGCCTCCTTGAGCTTCTTCATACGGCCCCGCTGTACAACCATATCTGCCAGTCAACCAGATTCCGAAACCAACAACCGACTACCTCTGCTGAACCTCATCTTCACTAACGAAAAACTGATGGTTGAGCACGTCAAAGATGGTGCCCTTTGGGGCTCAGCGAGCAATGCGTCCTCCGGTATGACTTTGCCCAAAAGCCTGTCGGCACGCTGACTTATACGAAATGCTGAACTGGTTACGAAAAGTTAAGCACTCTCATTTCCGCAAACAACTGGTTACCGGAACCTCACTTGAGCGCTGACATCGTGTGGCTAACGTTCTGCACTAATCTACGCGAACTGTGCTCCTTAACCACGACCTGCAGACAGGTTTCCATAGGGAAGCAACGTTTTACGCCCGTCCGAAGTCGGACCCCGAAGTGGATTGCCCACAGGGACACGGTATGGAGAACATATCGTTCCTGTCTAACAGCTACTCACTGGGAAGCCTACCGACTTCTCCGTAACTACTGTGTCCAGCTTTTACGCGAAAAGTGAGCAACAGTGTCAGCTTGTGCACAGATTTTCTGCCAACCCCAAAACCCTGTATAGTCACGTCAACTGCCCTCGGCAAGTCAAACACGGTGTCACTGCGCTGACGACACCCACAGGGCTCACAAAATCAGCGAACGAGGCCACAGAATTCCTGCGCCAACATTACGCATCTGCTTTTCCCGTTCCATCAGCCCACACAATGACGCAACATTCTCCGTTCTCAGGTTCCCTGTTCCTGACAAGTGTTCAGTTCAATCCGAAGAAGGTCCTGGCGAAGCTTAAATCCCTGCGGGTAAAAGCCTCCCAAGGCGCAGACGGTTTCCAGCCAGGGCTCCTGCGAACGCACGCTGTAGCTCTAGCTTTACCTCCAGCGGAGCTGCTCACCCGTTTCCTCTCGCATGGTGAAGTCCACAACGATTAGAAATGCGGTACAAATACGCCGATCTACAAAGGCGGCACGCGTAAGGACCCTGTTAACTACCGACCGATAACACTCCACTCTACGCTTTCAAAATTGATGGAATCGATTGTCACCGATGGTTTAATGGACTACTTTGAGGCTCAGAAACTGCCTTCCGACTACAAGCAGGGCTTCCGATGGCAACCGCCATGCCTGAGTATAACTTGCTACTCGTACGGGATGGCTGGACGACTGCGGCTGACACCGGCCTGGAAACACAAGGCATCTTCTTAGATTTCTCCAAGGCTTTCGACAAAGTCGACTATGCCATCCTAATGAATAAACTATCGTTCTACTGTAGACCTGAGGACTTAATAGACTGGATGCCGAACTACCACCACCGTACCGTCCAAATACGCGTCGACGGAGCGCTGTCCTCCCGTATCCATGTGACAAGCGAAGTTCCACAGGGGTCTGTTCTGCGAGCGGAATTCTTCCTATCCTTCATCGGTGATATCACAACACAAGTCGAGTCCTCAATGCCACTCTACGCCGACGACGCGAAGCTGTGGCGTACAATCAATGCCCCAGACGATACCCGCGCACCTCAGTGAGACCTAAATCGTTTGCATCAATGGTCTCTGGAAAACAACCTCCTTGTAACTCTTCGAAATGTCGCATTCTCTCCACTCGCCCTTCCGCTTTTCCAATATATTTCCTGGGAGGGTCCGTTCTCTAGGTCTCGTTAACTGAAAGAGAATTGCGTATCATCACCCAAACCAATCTTTCAGTATCTGCTTCCTGCCGAAAAACAACCGCTGCTAACCGCATGTTGGGACTGTTAGAAGTATTTTCGGTCAAATCGATCCGCGGAATTTCCGCCTCCTTCTAAACGCCTTCCTACGTCCTCAGTTGAAGTTTGCTAACCCGGCTTGGATCCCCTGGTCGCTCAACGACCAGTGTATGCTTGAAGTCCCACAATGTCGGGCGACAAAATTAGAACGGTCTCAGGCACCTGGATTATCCACAACGGCTCCATCATCTTGGTCTCTTCTACATGAAATACCGACAGCTTCGGGGCGACTTGATCCTCGTATCTACAATCCTATCCAACCCTGGACACTCCTGTCGCCACTTACTGAAGCTGCACCACTCATGCTCCCATCTTCGTGGTCACCCACTCCGGCTCACGCATCAGCACAATCGGGTGAACTATAGGCGATATTCCTTCGCTCTGCGAGACTGTCGACCGTGGAACGCCCTGCATGCCGACGTAATCTCGACATGATTACACAGTTGTATCCCAAGTGCCATCTACGTCATTGAAACGTGGCGCTCTACTAATACGTGGGATTCAAGTGTAACAAACCCAAACTACCAACAATTTCGTAAAGATCGCTGCACAAAGCGTGGGGGCGGAAGTATTATATATCTGCATCGAACATCCACAGCGATGCGCTTTGATCATCATGAGCTAGAAAACGTTCCGCAATCTCTGTGGTTACTTGTCACTGGCACTACCCATCATATACTTCTTAGACACAACTACAACCTTCCGAATGCCCCCACTCGTGATGTTGCCACTATCTGCTCCGCAGTATATTTTTGCATCAGTTCTGCAGTACAAAGCAAAAATAATAGCTGGAGATTTCAATTTTCCGAAATCTCGATCACCAAATCCATCTTCGTTAGCAGATTTCCTGTCAACTATCATGGCTGGAGGATGGACAGAATGGGTTACCGAACCCACTAGATCAACTAACGTACTTAGTTTAATACCTACATTAGGAATTGTCGACGCAAACATTGAGCTGTTGGACTGTCTCCCAAGTAGTGACCACAAAATACGAATTATTTTCAATATCAGATCAAATGTCGATCTGGACCGGCCCCCACAAGATGCCATCCAGGGAATTAACTGGGCACATCTCCAACACTTCGTCCAATCTTCCGACTGGGATGCATTTCTCCTATCCACCAATGTTTGCCTAACAATACCGCAATTCTAAATTAACAGCCAGTATGCCATAACCCATCTCATGCTACAAAGTAAACGTGCTGCCTACAGCCCTAAAAATACAAAAGAATGCTTACTCCCCAGGAGACACGACAATTGCCAGCATGATCGCACAAGACTGGAGACTCTTCAACAAGTGCACGAATGGACCACTAGGATCAAACACGTACAAGCGATGCAACTCAAAAGCAAGGAAGAAAATGCACTACTAACGTGTTGCAAAACAAACTCGTCGCTATTCTTCATCATAAAATCAGTAACAGTACTTCCCCTGTCACGGGACTTTTGGATGAACAGCTTTAGTGACCCATCTGCCAACTGCGAGGCGCTTAATGCCTTCTTTGCTGCCTCAATGATGTTTGGATCTGATCTCATACCTGAATGCCCTTAATCCATATCGAATAAAAGCTCGTGCAATGTTGTGCTTTCTCCCAACAATATTCAGTAACTAATGAAAACCATCAAACCTCTCAGATTGGACGCTGACAATTTCCCCTCAACTGCCATTAGAATGGGTGGAAACGACTTACCATTATTTTTTTTGTATATGTTCATTTTATCATTGCAAACTAGTCATTTTCCTGATCAATGGAAAGCTTAATTCATCATCCCACGCGATAAAAACTGTCCAGAACAAAGTCGCCAAGTACCGAGCGTTTCGCCAAATTCCCATCATCGCCATTCTGTTCGAAAGATGGAATTCCTTAGTTCTCTGAAGCCATTTAACACATCTCAACATGGTTACCTAGATAGACGTTCTTGCACGAGTACCAGCTCTACTACCTTAATTACACTTCAGAATCGATAGATTCCGGTTTTGTAATAATAATATTAGTGGACTTAGAAAAAGCACTTGGCCGCGTACCCCACAAACGGTTATTGAAAAGTTAGAATGCTGTGAAGTAAGGAATTTGCTTTAACGTTAGCTTTCCTCCTACCTTAGCAATCGGTTTCAACTAGTCAGGTAGAGTGACCACCGCTCTTCCCCGCGCCCAACCACCAGCGGCGTCATCCAAGGAACTATACTTGGCCTGTAGCCTTAAGGATCATAAGCCTGTCTTGCAATCCGACGGCCCGGATTCGAGTCTGCGCAAGGGACCGGAGGATCCTCGCAGTATCTATAGCTCACGTGAGACCGGCACTACACACCGGCGTACTGCTGATGCCGTTTCTCCTTTTATCACCATGTTTTCTTTCCCGTTTAGTGGTTCTAATCCTGGACATCCTACGAGATTTGTTAAGCGGCTGCTTTTTTTTACCTTCAATGAAAAAATAATAATAAATAAATCCCCAGCCGTATGTCGTGATGGCGCTTTTCTGCCGCGCGTTGGCTGAGTATACAGCGAGGACGCCCGCCTCTACTCGGACTCCAACCAGTGACCTTATGGTTGCAAGCCAAACGTGCAGACCACTAAGCCACAGGTCGATACCTTCAATGAACCATTGTTTTATTGTTTGTAAATAGTCACAAAGAAACTTCAACTCAGTAGATGAGTCGTTGCCGATGTGAACGAACCGCACGGATGACTCCACGAAGCTAAGTCTGGTGCACATCTTGGCCAAGAATCCTCGTGTTCCGCGTTCGCCAAAAACATGCAATGAAAAGTATATTGTGCTGAAAATGCTATCCATGAATCGAAGATTTTTACATGTCAGTATGAAAGAAGTTAGTAGGTCTTCGACAAAGGAATTGTGCTCAACAATTTGATCTGATTAATTCAAAATATGGGATCGGGGATTGGTATTTTCAACATCGTATGGCGACTCCGACAGCCATAAAGAATCCGAAAGTACCGCCACCACCGAGCATTCCCTTGCCCACTGTTTGAACCAATTCGCGACCGCGTAATCCGAGTCTGCAAGGAGAGAGAAAAGACCCAAGTGACACACAACGCACCAATTAGTCGCTGCCAAACTGGGCATTCCATGTTAAGCAGTGGTCGAAAGGACAGAACGTGTGAGACTGAAAGAGACTGGATAACATAATGGTTTCGGAGTCGAGTGGGTTCTAAATCCAGATAGGAGCCAAAAGAAGGGGTCATGAAGACGGTGCAGAAAGAATTGAATGAGAACTTCCGATGATACAAAAGCAACGGATGCTTACCGAAGACAGTTAAATCCGCCAAATATAGCACCAGTAGCAACACCGAGGCAGAATCCCATCATTAGTCCGTATTTTACTCGATCGAGGCAAGAAGGCTGGTAAACGCCACCGATGGAGGAGGGTGGAACAGGCATATCTGAAATTTTAGGAACCACAAAACGGTTAGTCATTCCAACGAAGGAGCGAAGTGTTTAACATTTTAGTTAATCTCCGCGCTGGATATGATATCCGTGCCAGTGTGCTATGTGAATCCGACAATTTCAACAAGCGCGCGCTATAAGCTACTTATGGTTCTACCGATAAACCTAGTGAAACGACGGTACTCAGAACGAACCATCTTAACCACGACATAATTAGGTATCTCAATAGTGCACGCGTAGCCCTGAACTGGTACAACCTAGGGATCCCCATGAACAGTATTGATCGCACTTACCGATGGAACTGTTAAAACGGTACGAATACATCTCCACCTAGCCCGTCACCAGGCAGGTTACAATTAAGCATGACGAGTGCCTGTGTCAGTTGTAAATGCGCACTGCTGCTTGGATACCGTCATCAGTGGACAGTGACAGCGTACCTCGTTGTGCATTCACGGTAGCATCCAAGTAACCTCTTTAGCTCCCAAAACCATTTGCGTCTGAAGAAAAACCGCGATCTAAAATAAGTGGAATCTTTAACAGTGACATGGGTAATGCTTGGTGGCCTATTAACAATAACACATAGTGAGCCGCAATCCGCATGCGCATGTCAGTACAAGTTAATCTGAAAAACCTGCCAGCAACATTGTCCCACCTTGCTGACCATCACATAACAATCAGAGGTCTATCGTGCTCGCACGCTTTAGGGTCCTTCACAGCAAAGCATAAAGGTCGAAATGGAACTAACTGATCACTTAGTGTTCGCCCATCTGCTGTCAAACCTAGAGATTCACCCAAGGTATGTCAACCCCATAGACAAAGTTTGGCTGCTATGCCAGAGCAGAAAACCAAAAACTTCATCGAAATCACAAACTAACCGTCTGGCAGGATTCCATCCGATTTTTATAAAATGAATCGCAGAATTCAGCTACTCAGTTTACACTGGACTAGGAAAGGTGCTTGTAAATATACGTCTACTGATTTCCATGACAGGAGCTGGATGGTGAACTGACGGTTGATATCGCCCTAGATACTGTCGAGCGTCGTCTCACAATTTGGCAAGTGCTATGACACTATTCTATAGACAGATCAACGTATTTTTACGATCTCGACCCATATGCACAAATATCTCTCCAATGAAACACGGTAGCTTGCCAGATACCGTGCTGAGATCTCCGAGTCAAACGTGTGGGGGATCCGTGATGTTGCGCCTTATGCGTCTACCTTGCAACCACTAGACGAGAGTTCGTGCCTGCGTAGGGACCTGGCGACCCTCTCTTTACCTTTAGTCCACGCGCGACCGGCGGTGGTTACGCGACAGCGAAGGGGTGATACTGCGCATCGGCGTATTGCTGACTACTCGAACAATCCGATCGCGTAGGAGACTGTCGCCCATGCATTACAGAAATTGTAAGACCGGATCAAAATCTTCAGCTTAGTGATGTAAGCGTCGACGGACTCATTTGGGTCTCTGCTTAACGTAAAGAGAAGATAGCGCTGAATTTTTCAATGACCGTCTCCAAATCAATGGGATCTTTGTCATTGTTGTAGTGCAATGTCTATCGCACATGGTGCGTTGCGTGTTGAAATGTGGCCAAGCGATATGCCATCGGTTTCTCATCCAAACATACTATGGTGCAGAAATCCACCCACTTAATTATCTATAGATGCTAACCACTTGCCAAATTCCGTTCATTTATGTTCAATGAGGTGGTGATCCAATCAGCATCTGAGTGCAGAGGATGGGGTTCGTTTTGATCTCTGACATTATGTTGCAGGACCCAGTCCCTCAGAGGTAAGCGTTTATTCGGAAAAGTCAACACATCGAAAATTATAGCATGCTTGGCAAGCCAAACGCATGGATATAAGTTACCCGTTCACATCCACAAATAAGAAAAAAACGAAAGAAAGGCATCAGCAGTATGCCGATACGCAGTATCGACGCTTCGATGCCGCGCAATCACTACCGATCGCACGTGGACTAAGGATCCTGCGAGGGTCGCCCTGCTCCTACGCAGGCTCGAACCCGTGCCGCCAGAGTACAAGACAAGTTCATTACCTTAAGGCTAGGGGCCGGCATAGATAACTAACAACCCTGCTAAGTCGATGTTCTTCCTTTGGCGTAGTTAAACAAACGGCGAAAAACTCACGCAAATGTCGGCAAATCCATGTCCATTAATCGAATCCGTTTCGCCCATCTCCCATTGGCTGTCGGGCTCGCTCGGTTGGTCCATCCGTTCACTCTAGTATGACACTCCCATCACAAGCACATCCTGGCTAACCAACCAATGCCCACATTCCTTGCACTGACAGTTCATGTTGTGCCAGTTACGTGAAGCAAGCAAGAGAGGAAGAGAGATCGAAGGTAGAGAGTAAGGAAAGTCATTTGAAAGAAAAACAATGACAATGGTGAGGTAAACGGACAGAATCGAAGTATGAATATGGGAGTTAGTCAGGAAGAGGTAAAGGTTTCGTGTTGCCACCCAAGAGCGTCTAGTTGACGCTCAAAACCCAAGGTGATGATAGAGCCTTGTCCCGCATCGCTTGGAAGTTCGCGGCCCAAATGTTCGGATATCAAATGCAAGTGGACTGGTAAAGTCACACCGGAAAGACAAGCGAATGTGATCGCTTGTACCAAAAGGTGAGTCCTAAGTTATGACATTTACAAAGTTCAGTGACAGCAAAAGCAAGATCTAAGACGGGCGGCTGCTGATTGCTCATTTATCTAGTGGGGGGGGGGGGTCGACGAACTGGTGTAGTTGTACCTGCAGCGTCAAGTTCAGAAGTTCTGCACCGAACGATCCTGGCGACGAATTGTAAGTTAGAGCTGTCAAACAAACCTCTGAGAGGTTGAAGACACCCAGCACCAGACATTTGTTCTTAGAATGAGTGCGTATAAAGTCAATGATCGCCTTGAAGGTGGTCATAAGGCTTCTATAGACTAGCAAGACCGTAAACTGAACCGAGGAAGCGAAAACCAAGATTGCGAGACCCTCATGATTTGTTGAGGGACCGAAAAACGCTTGTCCTCAATAAGTTTAAGTGATAACTCACTTAAAAAGCTACACCACCCCCTTGACAGCCAATCGAGCAGTCAGCGAGGAACAGTGTGTAGTCAGGCAGACATACTTCGCTGCTCGTAATTTCCTCAGACAACCACGTTTCAGTGAAAGCAAGTACGTGTGGGCGAGATTTGTCTACAAACAGACCCACGTCGCACATTTTGTTCCTCATGCTACGCATATTACTAAGTACTACTTGAATGACTTCGGCCCGGCCCGCTGGAGTGACGAGCGGAGCTCCCTGAGTGACCAATTTTTGTGCCCTTGGCCATCCCAACTGGACACATTTTTGATGACTTTTAGTCACGCAGAATGCTTTCCAACACACTCTTACCATATAACGTGAATGCCTTTTCTTGTTTGTGAATACCGTCAACTTTAAGCGGAAACCGACACCCAAATTGTAACTTCGCAATGTTATACTGTTCGTCTAAACGGGAAATGTTTTTGAGTGACCGAAACTCATCCCAAATGTTTCCAATTGGGAAGGCCAGGGGCGAAAAAATTGGTTACTCAGGGCGCTTGAACGGTCACTCGCGCTGACTGAGAATACGATTTTACTAAAAAAAATAACGCCTTTTAGGCAAAGAACGGCGGCGCTAAATGTACATAATTTTATTTAACAACATATCTGGACACATCATGCCTTTTCGTTTCATAGTTGCTTTTTGCACCTGCGAGTGACGAAAAACGTGCCCAAATGGGACGGTTGGCCGTTTATCTGTGCCGACAGAGAACTGTAGTATGCGTCCGGTAGGGGATTCCGAGGGCTTGTAGTGGTCTATGAAATACAAAAAGGCTTAAGCACCTTAGGAAAACCAAAAACAAGGAAAAGTTAACTCACAGTGAAATCAGTTAAGTTTCGGTTACTGTGAATGAAATGCCTGTTGGACACGTCGAACACAATGTAAGCAGACGCTCAATCTTAATTCCACAGCAGATAGACGGTTTTCAAGTAAAGTCGAAGGCAGCGTACACAAACAGCATCAGCACGACGTGGTCTGTACAGCGTAGTGGTCCGAATGGACGAAGGTTTGACCACAGCACAGCACAGCAGCCGAGCAGAGAAGCGAGGACGCCGCGAGCGCACGGCAGGGTATATTCGTAGACAGAGTGCAATAAAAGACAAACTGGTAACAAGGTAACCAAGTATCGCTACATCACCCCCTCCATTGAGTGTGCGTCGTCCTCGAGGCACAAGCTGCACCACAACCGTAACGGATAGGCACTTTGGACTGGTCACTTTGGTAAAAAGAAGCATATTGGTCAGCGATCGTAGCAGCTATTAAGACGATACCAAACGGCGTCGTGTTAGGATATGTAAAACGCGTCCGCATCATCATCATCATTATACACATAGCTAGAGGTGTAAAACAACTCAGCTACCACGTCGCAATACATAGAAGCAAAAAGAAAATAAATGCAACAATTGCATGCCAGCTACCAGCAACGGACGACCATCGTTCCCGAAAGCTGCCAGCCAGCTACTGGGCAACAAAAAATCATTATTAAAAATTATATCACGCTAGGAACTGAGATCGTACTTAGAGGGGGGGGGGGTTAAAAGGGATGGGGAAAAACAAATCCACAGCAGGAACAACACTGAGGTCGGCTCCTGGCCATGTCAGCAAGTGTATCTAGCCAAACATGATCATCGTCTTCTGGACACCAACCAAGGAGCCGAGACGCTCCAACTGAAGTCAGCTTCGAACAAGTCACCGTTTGGCCACCTCTCCTCTTCTTCCATCCACACCTACGGCGAGCAAACAACGCACGTCGCGGGAGCCGGTGGGCTGGCGTGCGTAACACGTGGCCGAGCCATTGGAGCCTGGTGCGTGAAATGACAGTGCTGAGCGGTTGAGTTCCTTTTCCTGCACCATAAACAAGGCGTCGAACACGCTCGTTGCTTATTCGGTGTTCCCACTAGATGTGAAACAAACTGTGAAGGCACTGGTGGTCGAACGTAACTAG